GATTGTATCGATAGGATAATAACTGCCACACAAATCGCCCAATAGGTACAGAGAAAAATGTCTGAAAGAATTTAACTACTTTCCCTATAAAAATACTTAGCAAAGAAGTGACAGAAGAGAGTCTAGTTTGATTAAGGGCATTGAGGAAGAACCGACTCTATAAATAAAAGGGAAGATTGAAATCTTTCCTCTGAGATCTAGACCTGGATATAGATATATATTCTTTCCATTTCTGTTCACTGTTGCACTGAAATTTCTGTCAAGGGCAATCAGGTAAGGATAAGAAATTAAAGACATAAATTTTTTTAAAGTAGGAGATAAAACTACCTATATTTAGCAATGGAATAAATATTTATTTAGAAGATCCTAAAGAACCTGCTAAAAGAAATTCTTTACTACTCTCTCTCTGTCTCTGTCTATTGTCTGTTGTCTCTGTCTGTCTGTCTGTCTCTGCCTCTCTCTAATCATAAATAAACTTCCATATATCTATACAATGGAATATTATTCAGCAATGTAAAAGAATGAACTATTGATACATGTAACAATAGGTCCTACGGGAAGGGGTAATGCTGAATGAAAAGCATTCAATCTCAAATGATAATGCAATTTATGATGTCATTTACGTACCACTCTTAGAATGACACAATCATAGTGGTGGCAAATGTTACCAGTGCTTAGAAGGCTCTAGAGTTAGGTGGAGAGTCTGCCTATAAATGGTGTAGCATGAAAGAATTTCTTGGTATTTTACACAAACTGTGCATGTGGCAAAATTTCATAGTAATACACATCAAAACACAAATAATGTCAAAACTAATGAGACTAAAAAAAGATCTTCAGTCATTAATACTGAATCAATGTATATTTTCTGGTTTAGGAAATTGAGGACGGTATCATGGGAAAGCCAGGTAAAAGATGCACAGAAGTCAGGCACCAGTGGCTCATGATTGTAATACTGTCTACTCAAGAGGTTGAAGTCTGAAGATCATAGTTCAGATCTATCTCAGGCAGACAATCCATGAAACTCTCTTATTTTACTTTTTATTGTTATTATAAAGGCCATACACAGAGGGGTTACAGTTATAGAAGTCAGATAAAGAGTACATTTCTCTTTGGACAATGTCACCCTTTTCCTCATTCTCTCCCAGTTTTTCCCTCCCATCCTCACCCACAAGTTGTATAGTTCATTTGAAATATAGTGTCTAGTGAGTACCACTGCTGCATTCGTTCACACTTTGTCCCTCTGTTTCTGTGCCCCCCTTACCCTCCCAAAGATAGATGAATGAACAAACAAGACAAAAAGAAAAAATGAAGGAAAAAAATCTATTGCTTCCATTTCCTGGAATTCTTTCAATAAATATTACTTTATATGATCGGAGGTACAGAGGCATTGTGCCCTTGTGGTCCTCCCCTAAGAATATCCTCCTGTGGTCTCACTGTGTGTGAATGCCCAGAGTCCTGTACAATATACCATGTTCCGGTGCACTTTAGATCTAGCTTCTGCAAATGAGAGAAAACACATGCTCTTTGTCTCTCTGAGTGTGGCTTATCTCATTTCACATGATTTGTTCTAGGTCCATCCATTTCCCTGCAAATGAAGTAAATTATTCTCTCTAATGCATCCATTTCCCTGCAAATGAAGTAAATTATTCTCTCTAATGGCTGGGTAAAATTCAATTGTGTATAGGTACCACATTTTTTTTGGATCCACTCATTTATTGTAGGGCATCTGGGCTGTTTCCACAACTTGGCTATTGTGAATAGTGCAGCAATGAACATGGATGTGCAAGTGTCTTTATATCCTGGCTTGTGATGTCCTGGATAGATGCCCAGGCTGGGTCATAGGGAAGATTTATGTTTAGTTTTTTGAGGAACCTGTAGACTGCTGTCCAGAGTGGTTGTACTAGTTTACATTCCCACCAACACTGCAATAGGGTTCCTTTCCCTCACATCCCTGGCAACATTTGGTAGACTGTTCTTAATTACGTTGTTTTTCTTCCTGGAGAAGTTGTATAGGTTGTATTAGATTTATTCCTAGATATTGGGGCCATTGTTGCAGGAACAGGGTAGGATCCATTGCCTGGGGTCAGGGGAACAGAATACCCTGTCCCTGGGGCCTTAACTGGAGGTGGTTTTGATGATAAAAGAGTAGATGGGCAGCAGATGAAAGGGGAAAAGTTCGTTCAGCTGAGAAGAGGGAACACATGGCACTCACAAGCAGCTCAAACTCTTGGCAGCATTTGGAAGTAGGTAGAGAAGACAAAAGAGAGCCTCAGAACATTTAGAAGCTAGAAATGCACTCAAGGAAGAAAACCAGCTCTGATAACTTCAGAGATTCAAGCATGTATCCAAATGATGAGCATGGAAGGGTATGAAAGGTTGTATACAGAAGTATACATCCTCAGTTTCCTGAGCTTATATATTTTTACATGCTGTGTAAGAAAGCTAGGATGGAGTCTAGGGCTTGTGTGTGCTAGGAAAGTGTTCTACCATGGCTCTATGTCTCTATAGGAGCCTAGAAAGGGAGATTCTCATGAACTTTCCACATTCTCCCCCCCCCCCATTCCAGAAAAGTGACTCACCCAAACAGAAGTCTACATGCAGCTTCAAAGTCACCCTTAGGAGAACTCTCAGTTTGGGTGCAACCAAAGTTCCAACTCTCCACAGGGTATTAGTTACTATGTTTCAGTATCATCATTCTAATAGGGATGTATTCACAACATGCTACCATGATGGCTTTACCAGAGTGCTATGGTTTGGGTATGGATTGAATGTGACCTTGGAAGACTCACTTACTGAAAGCTTGGTCACCCAAGTTGTGTCAAGGTGACAGAATCTCTAAGAGGTGAAAGGTGACCTAGCCACTCAGAAGACTGAGATCTAAGGATCACAGTCCGAAGCCAGCTCTGGCAGAAAAGTCTATGAGGCTCTAATTGTTAATTAGCTAGCAAAAAGCTAAAAGTGGAAGCATGGCTCAAATGGCAGAGCACCAGCCTTGAGTGAAAAAGCTGAGTGAGAGCATGAGGCTTTGAGCTCAAGCCCCAGTGCCAGCACAGAAGTCAAATGCACAAAGCAACAAAGCCTTGAGCAAAACCAGCTCAAGGACAGCGCCCAGGCCCTGAGTTCAAACGCCATGACTGACAAAAATGAATGAATGAATAAATAACTGATAAAAGGGCTGGAAGTATGGTTCCAATGGTAAGAGTACCTGCCTAGCAAGTATGAAGCTCTGATCAGGTTCAAACCCCCTGTGCCAGAAAGGAAGAAAGAAAGAAAGAAAGAAAGAGAGAGAGAGAGAGAAAGAGAGAGAGAAAGAAAGAAAGAGAGAAAGAGAGAAAGAGAGAGAGAGAATGAGAGAGAAAGAGAGAGAGAAAGAGAGAGAGAAAGAAAGAGAGAGAAAGAGAGAGAGAAAGAGAGAAAGGAAGGAAGAAAGAAAGGAAGAAAGAAAGAGAGAGAAAGAGAGAGAGAAAGAGAGAGAGAAAGAGAGAGAGAAAGAGAGAGAGAAAGAAAGAGAGAGAACGAGAGAAAGAGAGAAAGGAAGAGAGAAAGGAAGGAAGGAAGAAAGAAAGAAAGGAAGAGAGAAAGAAAGAAAGAGAAAGAAAGAAAGAAAGAAAGAAAGAAAGAAAGAAAGAGAGAAAGAAAGAGAGAAAGAAAGAAAAAGAATATTGTCTCCATGTGTTTGCATATGTAACCTCCTATTTTTGTCTGGCTATCGGTGCCTAGTTTTATTTCATTGTGATCTGATAAAATACAAAAAGTTACTTTAATTTTTAAATGTTCATTAAAATTTAACTTATGTCCAAAAATGTCAGCTATTTTGCAGAAAGTTCTATGAACTTCCAGGAAGAATGTATATTAATGACTGTTGGGTAGAATAGACTTTTTAATTCCATTTGATCTAGAGGATCATTTAATTCTGAAGTTTCTTTGTTGATTTTCATCTGGATGATCTATCTGTCGGTGAGAGTAGAGTATTGAAGTCACTCACTAACATTGTGTTGGGATCTATGATTTTATGTCCAACGGTATTATTTGTTTTATGAAATTGGATATGCCAATGCTTGGTATATATACATATGTTTTCCATTGTTATGAATCCTTCTCCTTGCCAATATGAAATTGGCCTTTGTCTCCTATGACTAATGTTTATTTAAAGCCTATTTTTTCTAGGTGTGAGTTTAGCTACCCTAGTTGTTTTGGGCTCCATTTGCTTGGAATACATTTTTAACAACTCTTCACTTTAAACCTGTATTTGTCTTTGCCAGTGAGGTGTATTTCTAGTAGGCAACAAACAGTTGCTAGTCTTATTTTTTTTAATCCAATGAATGTACCAGTCTGTGTCTTTTAACTGGATAATTTGGATCATTAAAATTCATTAAAATTATTGATGGGAATGTAATTCCTATCATTTGGGGCAATGTTTGATTCTTAAGTCTTATTTGCTTATCTACTCTTCTAGTGAAATTTATTCTTTCCTCTGTGTGTGTGTGTGTGTGTGCGCGCGCGCGCCCGCACGCGCGTGTGCATGAGTGTGCTGGTCCTGGGACTTGAACTCAGGACCTGCGCATTGTCCCTAAGCTTTTTTGCTCAAAGGTAGCATTCTACCAAATGAGCCACAGCTCCAGCCACACTTCCAGCTTTTGGTGTGTTAGAGATTAGAGTCTCTCGGGCCTTTCTGCCTGGGCTGGCTTCAAATGGGGATCCTCAGATCTCTTTCCTATTATTAATTAAGCCCTTGATTAGAGGCTCTGGGAGAGCTGTGGGCCAGGGAGAGGAAGCAGAACACCCACTCTCCTGTGGGTAAGAGGTAGGGCTTCTTAATACTAGCAGACTGACTTTACCATTTGCAGCTCAGAAGAACATTATTCACAGAACTGGAAACTAGGGAAGAAACTTCAGCTTCATCACCACCTGGCATCCAGGCCAGTGCACCATTGCTGAACCCTTCCTAGATCTCAATAGCTGGCCTCATCACTCCTTTCCTTTGTATCTTCCCCGCCTGCATGGACCGGCTCCTGTTCTTGATGCTCCCAGGAGTCCTCCTGGTTTTGTGTCAGCCACACATGGAAGGTGAGTTCTGTGGCTGAGAAGCAAAAGTGGATTAGGACAATGGGATCTGGAAGGAATGTACCCGTTAAGAAGGACAGTGGGAGCAATGCTTGTAGAAGCCATGTCCCTGAGCCTCTAGCTGGCACACAGATGCTTTTTGCCACGGGAGCTCTTCCTGGGGACCCATCTGTCTAATAACGACTCCACCAAACTCCAGTTCTAGGCTCCAGAGCGTTATCAGGAGGGTTCTTGATGAGAAAGGTAATAGAGAATAATGCGGGGGGGGGCAATCTAGAAATGGGTTTATAGGAGAATAGTAGGGCCATTTTCCCTAATTAAGGCCTGAATCTTGATTCAAAGAAAAAAAGCAGAAGAGAGATCATCAATCCTTGTCTCTATTGGACCCTCGTTCCGCTCTCCTCCTTGCCCAGCCCTACAAGCAATGAAAAGTCCACATTGGCAGCCCCTTTAGAAATCACAGCTACAGGCTGAGCCTATAGAGAGAGGACAACGTTTCCAAGAAATCCTAAGAGTTCTAAAAACACATTCCCCAGAAACCTGGGCTTGTTTGGGAGATAGACCTAGAATAAATGGACTCCAGATGGCCCAGCAGTATGTCTAGGGATGCCTCTGCGGTCCAGGGTCCCAGCCTCCAGTCAAACACCTCTATCAGCAACTCTCGCATCGGCTTCCCACTGGCTGGTCTGCCCTGTTCTTACTCTATGCTCCTGACCTCATATCCAGATCCTCCGCAGCATTCTATCATGTGCACCTCCTGTGATGAATTTGTTAGAAAGAGATGCAAAAAGAATCTAAGTCGCTGTGAAGCCAGATACCCTGACTTCGCATGCCAGTCTAAGGAGGTGTATATGCAGCATATGACTGGAGGTAAGGAGACCGGAAGAAGGGAGTGAAGGGAGATGGCCTAGGGAGAAAAACAGCACTGGATTTGAAATCAGAAGTTTGTCATCCCATGAGCTTTGGCGTTCACTTAGCCAAATTCTCGTCTGTACAACTATTTGGTTTTTACTTTTGAGTCCAGAACTCTTTTATTATTTGTATGTGTGCATGTGTGTGTGCGCATGCCAGCACGGATGTGTGAACTCAAAGCCTGGCATGTTTTGCCTGGATTTTTTTCACTCAAAGCTAGAGTGCTCTACCACTTGAGCCACACCTCCACATTCAGCTTTTTGCTGATTAATTGCAGACAAAAGTCTCATGGACTTTTCCTGCCTGCGCTGGCTTGGAACTTCAATCCTCAGACCTCAGCCTACTAGGTAGTTAGAATTACAAATATGAGTCACCAGCACCCAGCTTGTACATTAAAAAAAAAAAGTATTATTTAGCCCAGTGCTGGTGGCTCATGTCTGTAATCCTAGCTACTCAGGAGGCTGAGATCTGAGGATTATGGTTCAAAGCCAGTCCAGACAGGAAAGTCTGTGAGACTCATATCTCTAATAAATCACCAGAAAACTAGAAGTGGCACTGTGGCTCAAGTGGTAGAGCACTTGCCTTGAGCTGAAGAGCTGAGGGACAGTGCCCAAGTCCAGAGTTCAAGCCCCATGACCAACAACACACAAAAAAGCATTACTTATTATTTTGATTGTATCAAGTTATGCAGGCACATGTAACAAATGCACACAATACAATGTGGAATGATCAAATAGAATAGCTAGCATTTTCATGGACTTAAACATTAAAAAAGAAAAATTGGTGTGTCAGTTTGCCAGGCTTGAACTCAAGGCCTTACACTCTTGTTTGGCTTTTGCACTCAAGGTTAGGGATAAAATAAAAAAGAATTTGGTTTTAATAAGTACCCTCCAAATTCCTACCCACATTTGATATTCAATGGTTTAAGTTCTATATGCTATAAATGCATGTGTGGGGTACAGGGTGAGCTGCCTTGGGAGACCTGCTTTTGTGGAAGGGTTTTCAAGTCTCAAGCTCTTCTTCAGAGAATGAGAGGGGAGGGAAGAGGAGGGGAGGGGAGGGAAGGGAAGGGGAAGGGAAGGGAAGGGCAGGGCAGGGCAGGGAAGGGGAGGGAAGGGGAGGGGAGGGGAGGGAAGGGAAGGGAAGGGCAGTTTAGACACTGTCTCTATCACTGATCTAATCTGAGGCCTCTCTCTTACTCCTCTACAGAATACGAGTACAAATATTCCATCCTGGGCTGCCCAGATAGATGCATGGAATATGTGTACATCTCTAGGTGGCAGAAAATTATCTTCAACTGCTGTCATGAAAACTACTGCAACGGCTTGCCGATACAGCATAATGTCCAGGAAAATCCCTTCTGGTTAAAATATTTTCCCAACACTACCAATTGATTTGCAAGGCCTTCCTCTCGGCCTCGAGCTACTCTTCTTACTTGGTAATCTCAAGATTTGGAAATGTCTTCACTCCCAACCTCTGCCTCCCTGCTGTCTTCTCTCCTGGAGAGGCTCATTGAAATGCCATCTAAGCCTATATCAGATTCCAGAGTCTGGGTCTGCTGTTCTGGCTGGGAGCCAAACCCCAAGTCTAGACGAAAATGGGATGGATTAGGCTGTGCTGGCACATTTATAAGACCACAAATGCTTTACAAAAGAAGCTGTAATTTAAAATATAATAAATAATAACCACACATAGAGGATTCCTGGGCAGTTTCCATAATGAAATATTCTGGTCAGAGAATTGTCTGACAAAAGTCACTGAATTAGCTAGTCTCCAGTGGCTCACACCTGTCATCCTAGCAATTCGTGAGGCTGAGATCTGAGAATCACTGTTCGAAGCCAGTCTGTGAAACTCTTAGCTCCAATGAATCACAGAAAAAGCCACAAGTGGCTGGGCGCTGGTGGCTCATGCCTGTAATCCTAGCTACTCAGGAGGCTGAGATCTGAGGATCACGGTTCAAAGCCAGCCCGGGCAGGAAAGTCCGTGAGACTCTTATCTCCAATAAACCACTAGAAAACCAGAAATGGCGCTGTGGCTCAAGCAGTACAGTACTCGCCTTGAGCTGAAGGGCTGAGGGACAGCGCCTAGGCACAGAGTTCAAACCCACGACCAACGAAAAAAGAAAAAGAAAAGAAAAAGCCACAAGTGGCACTGTGGCTCAAGTGGCAAAGCACTAGCCTTGAGCAAAAGGAGCCCAGGGACAGTGCCTAGATCCAGAGTTCAAGTCCCAGGACTGGAAAGAAAAAAAGTTATTGAGTTATTTCATTCCTCAAAGGTTTTGGATCCTAATTCCTGGAACACCCTTTATGTTCTGAAAGGGAGGGTCCGGCTTTCCACAGGGATCTTCTGACTTCCATTTGGGAAGGAAAGGAAATTTTCTGGCAACTGTAGGCTACAACTCTTAAAAAGCAGAGTTTTAAAAAGTATTATTTAATCCCTATTAATTGTGTAGGTTATTTTCTCTGTGTAATTTCTGTACATACATATGCTGTGCCTTGTTTGAATCCATCCTCCTTCACTCTTCACTCCCCTCTTCCTGGTCTCTTCCTCCCCTTATTAGTCCCTCTTCTATTCTCAAACAATCATCATTAAAATTCTTTGTTTACATTCTGCATATGTCAGAAAACATAAAATGTCAGTTTCTGAGTCTGACTTCTTTCACGTAACATGATCGAGAGTTCCGTCCATTTTCCTTCCAATCACATGTTCCCATTCTTCTTTGGGCAGTGCTAGGGTTGGAACTCAGAGCTCTGTGATTGCTAGGCAGCTACTTGACTACTGAGCCAGGCCATCAGCGATTCTATCCTTCTGTTTGGCTAACGCTGTTGGGTATGCATAAACCGAAAAATAAATATAGCATACTTTCTTTCTCTTATATTGTTATAGTACTGGGGATGGAACTCAAGGCTTTCTGCTTACTAGGCAAATGCTCTACTACTTGAGCCTTGCCCCTAGTCCTTTTGTCTTTAGTTTGTTTTTCATAGAGAGTCTTTCTTGTGTTAGCTTTGCCCAGGCTGGCCTCTAACGGTGATCCTCCTACCTCTGCCTCTTAAGTTGCTGGGACCACAATTATGTACCACCATGCCTTGCTTGTTTCTGAGATAGGATCTTGATAACTTTTGACCAGACTAAGCACAAGCCATGGTTTTCTGATCTCTGCCTCTAGCTAGGATTATAGGCATGGACCTCCAAGCCTGACTTCACAATTTTTTTAACCATTCACCTGATGATGAGTACCTAGACTGATCCCATAACTTACCACTATCAAATAGAGCCAAAATAACCATGACTATGTATATGTACCAAAGAGCACAAATTCTGGAAGAGATTGTTTGAATATGGATCCTATGACTCCCTTTTATAAATCCTAATGACCTTGAACAATTATCTTTCTTGATTTTGGTCAAGTAATAGGAGATCAGCTCAGCAGGATGCAATCACTATCAAAAGCATACTTGCTTATAGTTCCCCAAGGGGAGAAAAATCCCCACACAAGGCAAGCCCAACTAGCAAAGGGAGAGGGCAATGTGGGCAAGGGTCTTTAGAAGGAACGGGATGGCAGTATAAACAGGTGTGGGATGGGCCACTTGAATAATTCCATAAAACATATGATGCCTGGGTAATTCAGCAGAAGGTGGAGTGGCCATTCATTGGAATATGTTACTGATAAATGTTATACAGTTGATGGATGCTGGCATGATACGAGGTGAGAGAAGACAGAAACAATAGCCTTGTGTTATATGATGCCACCACTATGAAATGTTGAGACTAAGCAACTCCACCGACACAGAAATCAAAGTAATGGCTGCAGATTTAAGGACAAAGAAGACCGGGGTGTTTTCTAGGTTTGGAGCTTTGAGGGGTAATGGTAAGGATTTTCTGAAATTAGATAGTGCTAGTAGTTATGCAATATTGTGAAGGTACTAAAAGTCACTGTGTAAATCTTGTGAGGTTTATGTTGCTTGAATAATTTTACCTGAGTAAAACAATGACTGTGTAAATAAACACCTATACATCTGCACATGTGTGCATGCCTGTGACACAAACATCCTAAAGTTTATTTTAAAAAATTATTTTCCTGGAGTTGGGAAGGTGGCTCAGTGGTAGAGTGCTTGCCTTGCATGCATGAGGCCCTGGGTTCGATTCCTCAGCACCACATAAGCAAAAAGAAAAAAGCTGGAAGTGGCGCTGTGGCTCAAGTGGTAGAGCGCTAGCCTTGAGCTGAAGAGCTGAGGGACAGCGCCCAGGCCCAGAGTTCAGGCCCCACATTTGGATCCCCCCCAAAAAATTGTTTCCTTAGCTAATACTTTCATTAAAATATATCATTTTCAGATCATATAATGTTCTTTTTGGAAAGATAATGTTATGTCTTATCTTTATAGTGATCACAGAACCTTTTTTTTTTCTATCATGGGGTTTGAACTCTGGACCTGGCGGTTGTACCTGAGCTCTTCAGCTCAAGGCTTGCATTCTACCACTTGAGCCAAATCACCACTTCCAGTGTTCTGATGGTTAACTAGAGATAAGAGTCTCACAGACTTTCCTGCCAGGGCTGACTTTGAACTGCGATCCTGTAGCTAAGATTACAGGTGTGAGCCACCAGGGCCCAGCCTATTTTACAATATTTCTAAATGACATAGAGCATATAAGTATTATTCCAGAGCAATAACAATGACACTTAATTTAATATCATCACCAGGTGAGATGACGAATGGGTCCTTAATTTCTCTGCCAGGTTTTGCTCTATGTTTCAGGTTCTCTATCCCCTTCACAAAGCCAGCCCAGGCAGGAACGTCTGTGAAACTCTTGTCTCCAGTTAACCACAAAAAGAGAAGAGAAGGGAGAGGAGGAGGGCGGGGGAGGAAGAGGAAGGGAGAGAGGAAGGCAGGAAGGCAGGCAAGAAGGAAGGAAGGGAAGGAGGGAGGGATGGAGGGAGGGAGGGAGGGAGGAAAGGAAGGGAAGGAACAGAGTCAGAAGTAGATCTGTGGCTCGAATGCTAGAGTGCTAGCCTCGAGTACAAAAACAAAACAAAAAGCTCAAGGACACCACCCGGGCCTTATTTCAAATCCTGGGATTAGCACAAAAATAATTTAAAATTAAAAGTGTTTTCTTAGGAGTACAAAGGGCTAGAGCATAAGTATAGGTTAGAGTCCACATTATTATCAAGCAGAATTTGCAATTATTCAGAAAAAAAGCAACCATCATAAGTCTGATTAAACTTTCAGTCGATCAGCAATAGAACAATGAACAATCAATGGAAGGTTATGAACAGGAAGAACTGTGAACAAATAAATGGATATCTTCACATTCAACATGGCAATGACTTTGGACAATCTGTATAACCAGAACAACACTTTCCTTTCCCAAGCACCATAGCCATGATCAAATCTGACACTTCACTATGCGTCTAATGTATATACCAGAGCAGGCATGAATCTTCCCAGAGGTTTTTTTTTTTTTAAGGAAAGATACTTCTATGCCAGTTCAATCCATGTGGTCTAGTCAGCCATTCTGGGATCATCAGAAATGAGATTGGTAAGACAAGAGAAAAGAGATACAGCAATCTAAAGCTACCTCAAACTAGTAGAGAGAAATGGGTATATTAATGTCATTGCAAAAGTCAATTGAAAATCAAATAAAAATCTCATTTTCTTGACAGTCTTTCATGCAGTTGGTCTCTCCATGTAATGGGTGTCTGTGGGAGGAAAAAAACAGAAATAAGGTGTAATTTTGGTAGTCAAGATACAAACCCCAATTCAAGAATATATTAAACAAAGCAAGAATATATTAAACAAAAAGTGTAGTCTCTGTGTGTGTGTGTGTGTGTGTGTGTGTGTGTGTGTGTGTGTCTGTTTGTGCCAGTACTGGGACTTGAACTCATAGCTTTTCACTCAAGACTAATGCTCTATCACTTGAGCCATAGCTTTTGATGGGCAATTACAAATAAGACTCTCATGGACTTTCCTGCCCAATCTGGCTACACACCTTGATATTCAAACCTCATCCTCCTGATTAATGTGAGCATCAATGCCTGGCTTAGGGAAGTATATACATATTTTTGAAAAGTTTTTTTTTCCAAAGCAGCTTTTGGTCCCATAGAGACAGTCCTGCTACATCTTCTTAAGCCACATTTAGCAAGATTTCATACTAGGAGTCTTTCCAGTGGGGAAAATATATATTTGTTGCTGACACAGATGGGCACAAAGAACTTGGTGAAAATCTGCTGGTTTTCCAGGCTCTGGAGTCAGCACCAGGGTAGATGGGAGCAATACCAAGTCTACTCTCCAGGACCAGGTAGAATGCAATGACAGGTGCTTTGAATGCAGTGTGCTCGATGTACGGGGATGGATATGGAAGTGAGACTTGGGAGCACAGAGGGGAGTCATGAAGACGT